TCTAATTTTATGATGTTTGAAAATTAAAAAAGCCAAAGGGCTATATTAGTAAAATTTGTATTGCCCTCACTAGGGCTATTTCTTATATACCATTAATTTTTAAAAGCTATTACTTTAAGTCAGTGTGGTCACAGAAGCCTCTAAAATTTAGCCTCAGAACTTGTCTTCAAGGGTTTTGAATATATCTCTATTACATTTTAGGCTATTATATTGAATGCTGAATGAACTTGTAATTACCCTCACTTAAAGTGCAACAAAAATAGGAGACTGTTTATTAGCAGCTTTATTTCAAGTTTCTATTCCAAATATTCTTTTAATTCAAGAGCTCTGGAAACACTGGTTTTGCATTATTCTACCCTGGCTTCATGGCTAATGATGAATATAGTTGATGAGAAATACTTCACTTTAAGTGGCAGTTCTGAAGTACTTGCATGGAAGGTGGTGCACAATTAAAATTATTCTAACAGTCTGTTATGCACTGTACACAAGTAATAAAATTAATGGATGCACTTCAAGTAATGATCCATTTCCTCTGGGTGCAATATATTTATTCATAGACTATTTCAGGGGTTGTTTAGAATATGAGATGTGAATGGATTATGATCCATTATCCCTGAGATTCTAATGTGCTACAACAAAATGGTTTCCATAAGTATTGTTCATAATGCCTGGTGTGTTAGTATTTGTATTCTTAAATAGCTAACACAAAATTAGAAAACAGATGCTCAGATGATTGATACCTAAAACTTTTCAGATATTTACACTTACAAACTCTTAAAAAACTTACAATTTTGCATCCAGCCAAGGAGCATAATTCTATGAAATACGCATAAAACAATTATATATAATAACAAAATTATCCATATGCAAATATTTTCTTGGAAAACACTTTGAACCCTTTTTTATTCTAGAAAGGTTTTAATGGTCTTTCTTAGAAAATCAACAGTAGTCCTGGCATCTAAATGGTCAATTAATTTACAAAGTTGAAGTAATAGCATTTCTAATTTTAAGAGAGATACATTAAGTAATGTGACATGTGACAGTGCTTCCCATCCCCTGCCCAAGTATTTTAAAGCAAATTTGATGCAAGAGAGATGGTGTGCTTGTTTGTATATGGCTTTTGGCTTCAGTGTACATTGGTCTCATAATTTTTATATTCATATAGAGTACATTATTGATTTGGTATTGAATGAGTTCATGAGTACAGTGTAGTTATTTTCTTTCTACTCCAAGCTGAGAATTCTATCAGATACTGCCAGTGGAGACATTTCCTAGAGGAGTTTATAGTTTAGAAGGACAGTTTATGCCCTTATTGAGCGGGCAGCATATTCACAGTGAATTAATATAGTGTTTGCATACAAATCCTTCATAACACGACTTCTGATTATCTGTGGCCAACATTATGTCTTTTCTAGTAACAGCTAGAAATTTCTGCATTTTCCTTTTGAAATTTTTGGTTTCTTTGTAACTTCAGTCTCAAATGGTTATAAATGTGGCAAAATCCAGGATTCTCAAACTCTTTTTATTGTTATTTTAGTTAGAGACAGGGTCTTGCTCTGTTGCCCAGGCTAGAATACAGTGATGCGATCATAGCTCACTGCAGCCTCGAACTCCTGGGCTCAAAGGATCCCTGGTTACTGGTAAAACGTCTTTAAGAAATGTATGAATACACCTTCTATATCCCATATTAGTCCTGTATTATATAAAATTAGGACTAATTTTAAAATAGTATTATTAACTTTTTATATATGGTCTGTCTCAGTCATTAAGAAGACTCCCTTTCCCCCTAATTTTTGCACAAGAGATCTGGTCTCTTGTTTTCTGAATATTCTTTTTCATTTCCTCTATATGACACTGTCTGATATGTCTTTGTTGCCTAGTATGTGTGAGCGTTTATTATAAGTAAGTTATATATGTTAACTCAGAACTTTGATAAGTATCCTATGAGGTTGATTCTATTTTTAATCCTCATTTCATGGATGACGAAAATAAGATCCAGTGAAATTAAATAGTTGAACCCATTTCACACATCTAGTAAGGGGCATCAAATTTGAACTCCCATCTCTTTAACATCAGAATTCTCACTGGTCATTTATCTGCCTTTCTGCCTGCCTCCCCCTTTTTGCTATTATGGAAGTCGTTCTTTGATCTATCACTGCATTTTAATTGCCTGCATTCAGTTATAAATATCAGTGTTATGAATTTTTACAAAGTTGACTTTTCTTCATTTAAATTTCTTTTACAGTGATATATTGCAACATTTTGGGGGGACACAACACAGAGTTTTGTGTAAAGATCAACAATGACTCATTAAAACCCATCCCTAGATTTTAATAGATACTGCAGAACCTATTGGTACTTCACTATAGTTTTATCGTTTTATAAAATTAACATATCCATATTGAAAATCAACTTACAGTTTTATTTTTTCATCTGCTACGATTTGTATTGTTGACCTTTCTCAGGGACACAAAGTGATTTCTCTCTGGATTCCCTTCTCATTTAGACAAGTGTTAAATAAGACTCAATCTAGCATCAGTCTATCGATCCCTTTAATTTAGCATTTCTTTTTTGACTATTTAATGGCTGGCTTATGTTGACTTTTCACCCTTCATGGACTTCTAACTACTTGTTCAAGTTCAACATATGCCGAAAATACTTCTCCTAAATATGTGATCATTTAGATCTATACCACATTTTTTTGTTATTCAGTAACATAATTTAAAAATTCTGTCCAGTATATTTTTTAATTATACCTTTTTATTTTCCAGAAATGTTAAGGTTTTATCATAATACTTTTTACAAATAGAGTGCTCATACGATTGAAGTTTCTTATTCTTCGCTTATACTTTATACCAAATGTGCTCATTTTCTAACTACAGTTACTTAATGGTATCGCTTAAAAAATATTTTGATACAATTTTTGATCACTCCTCAAAATCCAACAATCAAAAACAGCATGTCATACCACATGTGCAGATGTCTCAGTAAGACCAATTTATTCCTTAAGTATTAGGAGGATATTAGAATATTTAGCTCCCGCGAATCACGGACTTCTTTTATAGTTAGATATATGGAGCCATGTATATATTCTCTTTCTACATTCTATTATTTCCATTGTATCCCGTTAAAAATATATCAGGGAAGAAGGAGGGGAAAATAGTTGACAATATTTGTAAAGTTTGTCTCCTTCACCGCCATCCTGAGAAGCATTATGCTTTGAAATTAGTAAAGTTACAGTTGTGTTTCAAATGAATTGAGGGACATGGTTTGGCAACATTAATATCTTTATGACAAATAGAACATTAGAATATCAGGGCAGAGGGGAGTGAAAGAGGATAAAATAATATAGTTGTTGAATTCACATCTATATATTTTTTAGTCTTTAAAAAGGATAAAGTGGGAGGCATGTACAAGTTAACAAAACCACAGGCCTTATGTTTCTAGAGATGCTCTTCAGACTTTTTAAGAACTTAGCTTCCCTTTAACTAAATTGTATTACCAGAAAATTAAGTGAAATGAACATTTATAAGAGTAGATTATCTTAGGCAACCTACTCTTCTACTACCAACCTACTCTTCTACCTTTTAGGTATTTTAACCTAGAGAAAGAAACTTATGGTGAGTTCATGTTCTTTTGAGATCCCTGTAGGTAAATGAGAGACTATAAAACATTTAAATATTCAGTATTTCAAAAGCATAAGAAAGTTACCAGTGCTAATGTAGCTATGTTTAAAAATGCATGATATATTTAATCTATTTTCTCTTTTATATTCTATCATTAAGAAAACTACATAAGCTAATAAATCTAAGAAAGTCTAAATTTTGTAAACTAACCTTAGAGAATTTGAATATTTTAACCCATAGCATAGCATGATATTGCCATGCTTTCATGCTATGTGTGGAATAATATGTACTTGGATTGGCATTCATCATATATGAAAGGACATAGCATATTCCATGGTACATAGTAGGTACTCCAGAATGGTAATGGTGACAATGATGTACTTGTGTCTCCATTTTTCCTTTGATAAAGTTTTCTGGGTTTGGTATTACTATAGATGATTTTAAAACTGTCAGATGAACTTCTACATTTATAAATTTAAAAATGTTTCATATTAGAAAGATTATTTATCCTAGTACTTGTTTTATTTACTTGGATCCATGGACAACCTGAGATGGAGTCTTGCTCTGTTGCCCAGGCTGGAGTGCAGTGGTGCAATGTCGGCTGACTGCAAGCTCCACCTCCTGGGTTCACACCATTCTCCTGCCTCAGCCTCCTGAGTAGCTAGGATGACAGGTGCTTGCCACCACACCCGGCTAATTTTTTGTATTTTTAGTAGAGACGGAGTTTCACGGTGTTAGCCAGGATGGTCTTGATCTCCTGACCTCGTGATCCACCTGCCTCGACTTCCAAAAGTGCTGGGCTTATAGGCGTGAGCCACCACGCCCAGCTGACAGTCTGTTTATTTCTAGTCTTCTATAAATGAAACAAAGAATAGTTAATCTTGGATAATTAGTTTCCTCTTTTTAAAATGATGAAAATACTATTTAATTTCCAAGCCCATTTTAAAAATTAAAAATGTAAGTTAGTTCGGGGAAGTATATTTGAGTAATGTGCATGATACTTAAAGTGTATCTGAAAACATCCAAAATCTTACTTGTTCATAATCAGCCTTCCAGCTCCCATCAGAGCTTTGCGCACTTTTGTTTTTATTTAAATTTTTATTTAATATTTTACTTAAATACATTCTACTTTTCTACATCTTATGTCTTATTTATTGCTTGATGGCATTGATAATCTTTATTGTGATACAAGTCTAATAATTACAATGAATAATCTGAAATCATATTTACACATTTATATCTTAGAAAATAATTGATTTGGTTTGAAGTCATTCATGTGGTGAATACTTTTATAATTAGGATGTGTTGGGTTTCAGATCATTTTTTCAGTCTGTGGGTTCAGGGGATATATTTAATTATTTTTTTTCTTTCTAGAGGGTGTTAATGCCGATAGCATCAGACAAGCCTCAGAACAACTGAACAGCCGGTGGATCGAATTCTGCCAGTTGCTAAGTGAGAGACTTAACTGGCTGGAGTATCAGAACAACATCATCACTTTCTATAATCAGCTACAACAATTGGAGCAGATGACAACTACTGCTGAAAACTGGTTGAAAATCCAACCCACCACCCCATCAGAGCCAACAGCAATTAAAAGTCAGTTAAAAATATGTAAGGTAAGAATCTTTCCTCCTTCCGTTTGGAGAATATTAATAGGTATTTCTTGGCAATTTCCAAGAAGACAATAACAAATTATTTAGTAATGAAACGTTCACCTTTTAAGGATTTAGCTGAGCACAATAAAGTTCAAAATGTAAGCAACAAAAATCAGTTTAAATATGTAAGACATAGATACCCAGATTCTAAAATTGTATTTGGCATAGTTACACAGAGCTAATTGATTGTGTCGGTTTGCAAAAGCATGAGGTAGATTAGGAGTGTGGAAACCACATGTATCCTATAAAAAATGGCCTCTACTTAAGAACTCTTTCTTTGCAACTAGTGAAACATAGTCATATATTGAAAAAATGGAATCCATGGAAATAGTTAGAAACACGGGTCAACAACAAGCTTGGATGCGATGTAATTGGATACATAAGGAAAATATTTAAAACTGATGGACCTCTCAAATTAGGATAATTTGAGGAAAGTTTCTTTACAAAGAGATATTTTTTAAACGTAGCTGGTGTATAGAGGAACCACACGGGATAGTGTAGTAACCCAGCTTCAGAGTTCTTACCTCTTTTAGGCCAGAAAGGATCAGCGGGAGAGAAGTTATAAAAACTCAGAAGGAGAGAGTCAGATCCTCATGGTAAAAGCAGCATGGCCAGCTTAAGGAATCCTCATAGAAATGGAGTCAGAAAAATAAACACCCCACTTCTCTTTTTTCCCTGCCTCCAGAATCTTGTCAGGGCTCTAAACTTAATCGTAAGGCAAAGGACAAGGAACTGTCATCTGTAAATATCAGTCTCCTGGGTAACAGGAGAAGAGTGGACAGTGGATCTGGAGGAGCAAACATGATACACGTGGACAAAAGGGTGTGAGAAAGAGATGAAAAGATATTATGCCTTCAAGTGTGAGAAAACAAGAGCTGTATAATAATGAAAACAGCCTAAACTGTTGTCATTGTTACTATGAGCTATGTACTTTTCACGGGGAATGAGAAACTGATTAGGGGATGGACTAAAACATTTCCAGGATGAACCTTTAGTGATAGATGGAGAGGATTACATGTAATACAAAAGACAAGGAATGGAGATTCATTTGCACAATTTAAAAAGAATGGTTTAAATAAAGGTAGAATAGACAGGGAAAAGTGACAAGGTTGATTTAGAAAAGGTATTGGACCCAAAAAGTGATGAGAAATTCAAAGTTATATTGAAGAGAAAAACAATTGAAGGACTTGATGGTTCTTCAAATATTGGACCTATAGCATTACTAGGTTTTCTGTTCTTACGTTAGTTTGCTGAGGAAATAAACTCAGAAAGTATACTTTTGGATAAAGAATACCTTGGATAAGGTACTTGACTTATTAGGCAAATACACACATCTAAGGAATTTCTACATTTAGATACATTTTGTAATTTAAGAATAGAACCCATGCCATTTTTCCTATGAATCAGAGGAATAATACAAATACATTATTTCTTGCAACAAAAGTCTGATGTTACCTGACCTGATTCTTGAGATTCAGATATCATAGTTAGTAACAGTACCTACACAGTACATTTATGCATTTTATATATACATATATATATATATATATATAGTGTCTGTAATGTTTCTAAGAATGCTACTGAGTGTGTTAATCAGCTCATGCTGCCACAACAAATACCACAGACTGGGTGGCTTAAACAACACAGGTTTATTTTCTGAGAGTTCTAGAAGCAAGAAAGTCTAGGACCAAGGTTTGGCAGGGTTCAGCTTCATCTTCTGGTAAAGGCTGTGTTTCTGGATTGCAGATGACCAACTTCTCACTCTGTCTTCACATGGCTTTCCTCTGTGTGTATACATGGAGAGAGAGAGAGTGAAAGAGGGCTATTTTTCTTTCTTTCTTTCTCTCTGCCTCCTTTTATAAAGTCACCAATCCCTAAGGGATTAGGTACCACCCCCCAACCCTGATGACCTCATATAAACATTATTACCTCTTAAAAGTCCTATCACCAAATGCAGTCTCACCGATGGTTAGGACTTCATTCAACATGTGAATTTTGGAAGACACCATTCACCCCATAGCACTAAGTTTTGGGAATATTACAGTGAGCATTACAAGGACCCTGCTTTTAGTGTATTTATGGAAAGCAGAGGAGAGAGATATGAAGCAATGGAATCAATATTTTTAAATTTCCTGCTAGGATCAGTTGTTTAAACAAAGATGCAAAGCTTTGGGAGAATGACTAACACGGAAAAACGAACTGATAGGGCCACCAAGGGCATCTTCCTTGAGAGAGGAGCATTTGAGTTGAGACTTTTGTGATGAGTTGGAATTAGATAAGAGAACTGTGAAGCGAAAGACTCCAGGCAGAAGGAACATGGCGAGAGGGAGCAATAAAGGCCAAGCACCTGAATGAAGATCATTGCAAATGCTGAAGGTAGCGGGGCAGAGGAATGAGAGGAGAGTTGAAGAGGAAAAGGCAGGCATATAGGAGGCAAACCATTGACTTCTGGGACCTGCTAGTATCTTGGTCTTAATTTGAGGAGCAGATGGAGATCACCAGAGGTTTTATATAGTAAATATCGTCTGGAGGTTGAGGAAGTCATCCTAAGGGAAAATATTTCTTTTACTGCATCCAGCCACAAAATTCCAAATTCTGTTGTCACCTCTTTATCACCCCTTACTCTTTCTCTCAGACCCATTGGTGCCTGTTAATTTGAAGAATCACTTTAGGTAAAATATTTAGCAAGATAAGCTTAATATTATTCATACAAGGGCAAATATATATACTGTTCTGCTGTGATTAGTGATAGGCAAATAAATTATAACATGTTTCACAGCATTTTCTTTTATTTGGAGTTTCATAACATTAGAGTGCATATTTAGCTCATAATCTAATGCTTGGCAGAACTGGTTCTTAATATTCTGGAGGTTAGAGAGCCTTATCAGAATTGGAAGAAATTCATGAACCCTTTCCTGAGAAAAATACAAAAGCTTCCATGAGATAAGCATATAATTTTAAAGGATAAACAGATTTCAAGTAGATACCACACTCTGGAGGACCAACTATATCAAATCCTTTTATGGAGATAATGGCTGATTGTTAACATCTTTTCAAATGCTGAATACTTCAGTTGAAAATTATGTCTTCTATGATTTATTCTCAGAACGTTAAGGTCTCAACTGAACGTTTGCCCAAATGTTTTATTAGTTTCGAAGTCCCTTTTGTTTTTCAGAGCACACTTGGCCATAATGTTGGCTCTTTCTATAGCCACTTGAACAGGAAGAATGGCAGCCCTCTATCTGGACCAATTATAAATTAGGTTCATAGTAGATGCCAATGCTGCCATTTGTAAATCTAGTATACAAAGTATGTGTATATATTTCTGTACTGTAAATACAGAATATTACCCTTTACCTCTTGTCTTATTTCTTATCCATGGATATATACCAACTTTCTAGCACTTGTTTGAGAGGATTTATATTTGAATGAGAAATACAGGCCACCTCCCCATTTTGCTAAACATCTTTCATCTTCACCCATCAAAAGGATTGAATCGTCAGAGATTATTTTACCTGAATCAACTCATACTGTTATAACCACATAAACACATTCCTCTGAAAGCTGTATTTATATTTTTTAACATGAGAATAAGTGGCATTGTGCGTTAGTTAGTCTTGCAACCATGACAGAATTTGTGTGATAAATTTCTCAGCCACTCCTAAGACAAAAGTTACTCTCTCTCCAAAAGAGTATAAATGCTTCCATAAATACTTTTTTTTTTTTTTCCTTTTCACTTTGATTTTCAGGAAGCTCAGATTTAAATTCATTTCAGAATTGCTATAATTCTTTCCATTTTCTCTTCTAATAGGCTCATGTTCCAATTTTTAAATTTCAATTATCCTGTTTTTACATATTAAATAGTAACTAATCTTCAAATATTTTTTCTAAATATATTCCTTCAAATATATTTTCACCGCATATATATGAATTATAAGTAAGCAGCCATGATAATAACCCTTTTAAAAAGGGCAGTGAAAACTTTCTCAGTTCAAATTATATGTGTATTAAATACAAAAAATTCCAACTTCACTGGAAACAAGAGCATGAAAACATTTATGTAGAGAATAGCATGACCAAAAGAAATACAGTGCTAGCCACGAATTCAAGCCGCATATGTAACTTAAAATGGTCTAGAAACTACATTAGGAAAGGATAAAGAAGCAGTAAATGAATTTCAATAGTACATTTTAGTTAAACTGATTTATCAAACATATTATTTCAAAGTTTAATCACTATTTTAAAACTTTGAGATTATGTTCTCAGCTTTCTTCAGAATTAAATGTATTTTGTAATTTCAATGCATCTAAATTTGGACCAGCCGCATTTCAGGCGACCCGTAGCCACATGAGCTAGTGACAGCATAGCAGTGTTCATGTGATTTTATCATACAATCCAGGGTACTATGGAGAACAAAAGAGGGTGCTACTAATAATTATGCCAGGACAACACGAAGAAATGTGGAGAGTCACAGTAATTTAAATAGTGGCAATTGCCCAGGCACGGTGGCTCATACGTGTCATCCCAGCACTTGGGGAGGCCAAGGTGGGCGGATCATGAGGTCAGGAGTTTGAGACCAGCCTGGCCAACATAGTGAAACCGTGTCTCTACTAAAAATACAAAAAAGAGCTGAACATGGTAGCGGATGCCTGTAATCCCAGCTACTCAGAGGCTGAGGCAGGAGAATCACTTGAACCTGGAAGGTGGAGGTTGCAATGGGCCAAGATCATGCCATTGCTCTCCAGCCTGGGCAAGGAGAGCAAGACTCTGTCTCAAAAAAAAAAAAAAGGGGGGCGGTTGCCTGTTTGGTCAGGAGAAGTAATGAGACCATACAAAAGATAGAAGATTATAGATATATTTTTATATGTGTGTGTATACATACATACATATAAGTATTATATAGATTATATATGTTTGTATGTAATCTATATAATTATATCAAAATATATTTATAATTTAGTATAGACATATACATATATAGTTATATATATATAATTCATATTTTGCACAAATGAAAGAGAAAATATTGTTGAGTGAGCTTAGAATTTGAAGCAAAGGCACATCATTTTGATATAAAAGGGGAGCAGCCAAACACCTATGTTTGATTTATGGAAAGGATTGAAGGTCATGCATAGTACTTTTCCACTGCACACATTCATACCCATTAATGCTCTACATTATGTCATCTTGAAATTTAAATATCATTATATAGGATGATACGTACTGAACAAAGAGCCAATGTATCCTTAAATGGATGGTCTGTGATAGAGGCTTGCCTACACTGTCATGGATGTTTTTTTATCAGATATTTGTCAAGGGTATTAAGCTAAACTTGCCTTACTGCTTTTTAATACCTTCTTTTACAAAATGTAATGTATGCAAAGTAAAAGTGTTACTTTCCATATTCTGTGGCACAGGATGAAGTCAACAGGCTATCAGCTCTTCAACCTCAAATTGAACGATTAAAAATTCAAAGTATAGCCCTGAAAGAGAAAGGACAAGGACCCATGTTCCTGGATGCAGACTTTGTGGCCTTTACAAATCATTTTAGCCAAGTCTTTTCTGATGTGCAGGCCAGAGAGAAAGAGCTACAGACAAGTAAGTAAAAAGCCTAAAATGGCTAACTTGACATTTTCCAAATTGGTTATTTGTGGGGAAATCCGGAAAGTACTAACATGAAACAATGATTGCTGTCAATGGAACCGTTCTCCCTACAACCTATATTAACAAGGAATGAAATACTGGTGTAGCAGATAAGCTGTCTTTAGATTTTTTTTTTTTTTTGTCCTCACAATTTCTGACTTTGAGAAACAAATAAAAGATGTTTTATATGGGCATAGCTTCTCCTTGGTGGATTGTAGATTTCAAAATCAGATGTTTTGAATATAGAAGAAAATAAAAGAGCAGTTGAGGTCATATGAATACACTTTCATTAAGTCTAGCCCTCTGTACATACAAGGATATTTGCTAGGCATCTTCTAATACTTCTGTCAGTTTATCTGAAGAATATTATAGCTTTAGCATACATGTGGCAACTGAAACTAAGCAAAGGACAAATTATTCTTTGGGCTACATTTTACTACTGGATCACTATAATTACATAAATCCTATTTTTTCCTTTGATGATAAAAGATAAAAGTGGAGCAATTATGCAAATTCATACCATGTGACTAGCAAATTTTTCAAGATGTTTCTTTTGTCTCTCACTGAATTGCTTTAATAAGATGATGTTAATACATAGTATTTGCTCCAAAATATCCCTACTCATCAACTTAATTTTAAGACATTCTTTTCAGAGACAGATTCATGACCACCTTTATGAAATAGTATATGGGTTTTTGATTCACTATATACATGCATATATGTGTTCATGTGCACACACAAAAAATTATTGAGTAAAATTGGGTTTGAAGGCATTAAGATAAAAGTATTTTTCTGAAAAAAATCTCTGCCCCAAATTTGTTATGAGAAGCACAGGAACATGTGTTTGTTTTCTACTACAACTTTAATTAGTTGGAGAATACATTATCCTATTGCTTTTCTTTGTAAATATTTAAAGAATTCACCATATAATATCATTTCCAGAATTAATGTGGTGATGCACAAAGCTTTTCTCATTTCCCAGCTTTTCACTTTTATGAAAATGAAATGAACTAAATAAAGCAAAGGATACTTTTTTTTTTTTGTACTTCAAAGTCGTTTTTGCTAAGAGGTTTATTTTCCTGTACAGGTAGTAAAACTTTATAAATAATACCAGCTCCCTCTAGTGGATTTCAGTATACTCGTTGCTGTGCCTCTGTAAAATCAATTTGAGAAAATATTTTAAATGTCCTAGATTTTCAAATATTGACCTATTTAACAATAATGTATTTTCACTTGTCGTAAAATACATACCCCCCCCCAAAGTTAAATACACTTAGTGGCTATGCAGTAATTGTTGGGCAAAGGTGTCTTTCCACTGGAAAATTACTTTATATATACCTCTTAATCATATTAAAGTTCAACTTTTTATAGTTTAAAGATGTTCAGAATAGCAAGGTTTGGTAATTGAGATTTGTCTGTGATGTCACAGTATAAATATGTAATAGTATATCATCTGTGTTCATACAGCTATCTGTCCATCCATCTATCACTATCATCTGTCTTCTCTTTTTTAAATTGCATACCTACACATGATGATTGTTTATAAATCTTCCTAACTTTTTCACTGCATTTATATTTAAATAAATTGTCCCCATTTCCACTCTACCAACACATCTTGAATGTTATTATTCACCCTTTTGGAATGCTTGTCTAGATTAATAAATAACCCTTTAATTAAATATGGAATATATATAGTGAATGAAAAATGTAGCATATGAAATTACATAGCAGTTTATTTTGTTAATTTGTAATTATTTCAAATAACTGCACATGTGTAAGCATTGTCCCCAAATTGGCACCAGGGAGTAAATCTCATTTCTTGTATTACTCCACAGTACTTCGGACATATTAAGTATGCAGGAAATAAGAGCTAACGGAAGTGCCTAGGCACCCATAATGACATTTATTTCCTCTTTACTTTTTTAAACTAGCTTTTTCACACAAAAACCTGGCTTTTAAAATATACTTTTAGTGGTGAGAAATGGTATAAGGAATTGGTAGTCGTTATCTGACATAAGTGATACGAGAAAATAATATAAAAAGATAAAATTCTTTCTATTTTCGAAGTACTTTTTAGTCTATACATAACTAATTTGTACATCATTTTACCTAACCCTCAGAGAGAAATACATTGAGTATTTGTTTTTTATTACACCTATGTCACAGGTAAGCTAATGGGGTTTGAATAACTGAAAGGATGGATAATGGGATGCTATAAGAACTAGATCATATACATGAATGTTCATAACAACATTATGCATAATAGCCAAAACATAGAATAAACCCAAATGCCCATCCACTGATGAGTATATGAAGAAAACGGGCACATCCATACAAGGCAATGTTACTGAGTAATAAAAAGGGATGAAGTACTGATACACGCTACAGTATGGATTACCCTTGAAGACATTATGCTAAGCGAAAGAAGCCAGTCACAAAAGACCATATGTTATATGATTCTCTTGATATAAAATGACCACAATAGGCAAATCTGTAGAGGCAGAAATAAGATTAGTGGTTGCCTAGGTCTGGGAGGATGAGGGGGTGGAATTGTTTCCCATGACAATTGATAAAATACTTTTCTAGAAACTGAAGACCAGTAAACCCGTGTTTTATGCTAGATGAATATAGAAACACAGCATCTAGCCTGTTGTAGATAATTGTTTCAACAAAGATAAAAATGAACACTTATTTCTAAATGTAAATAAGGAAAAATGTTTGTGATATAATTTGAGTTTCTTTCATTAGCAATGTGGAAATCATGTCACCATGATTATTAGGGATTTTGTTGGTTTGGTTTAGTTTTGCAAAAATGGAGAAAATGGCAATATTAGTTATGACATAGCCAGTGTTTTGTCTGTTCTAAAGTTTCAAAATGATTCTCTTCTGTTCTACACCATTAGATTTCTTTCAGAACAGTGTCTTGCTCACTTACTCACTAATAAATTCAAGAAATATTTTTGAACACCTGGTATATGCCATAAAAGTGCTGGGCACTAGGTAATATACTTGGTGGAGAAAATCAAGAGCAATATGTCTTCATGGAGCTTATTGAAAGAAAGATAATAAAATTGAATATCTGAATATTATTACAGAATATAATTACTTTGGGGTCTGAAACTGTGATTCTGGGGAGATGATGTTAGAGCCAAACCTGGAGAATGTGCAGGTGCCAGCTGTGTGATAAGTTGGAGAAAGGACATTAGGAGAAATGAAAAGAAACACAAATAACCAAAGGTGAAAAATGAAGGCTTGGTATGTCCAAAAGACATAAGGGAGGCCAGAAGGGCTGGAACGTAAAAAATCAAGGAAAGATTAGGACAAGATGAGGGTAGAATGGCTCAAGGCCCCCATAAACTTCTATAAGAGGTTTGGATTTTAAGAGCAGTTGACATTTCCAAAAGAATTTCAATTGAGGAAATTAAGTAACCTTATTTGTATTTTTGAAAAACCCTCTAGCTGGTATGTAAGGGAGAAATGGAATACAAGTCTGAGGAGAAGCAGGAAGACTTGTTGAAAGAATAGCCACACAGAGGAGAGTCCATTGAACCTTAAACTACAGTTGTGATAAGATTAAGGAAAACCAGTTCAAATCTTGAAGATGTGACGATCTGGGGGAGATGTAGTGGGGAAGATATTCTTGCCAGAATTGAAAGAAAATAACTTTTACCTCTTACAGAGACAGTAGAAGAAAATTTTAGGGTAGGCAGCAAGGATGCTCTCCATGGCCATAATTTCAAGCTCTGTGGTTTGTCTCTACCCCTCCCTGTTAGGACGCTGAGACTGGGAATTAAAACAAAGATTGATGTGAACTGACTTTTCTAGCTGCAGGTCAGGAAATTGACCTCATTTACTTTATTAAAATTTAAATTTTTTTATTTTAAAATTTTATTTTTAATACATCTAGGCAAAGGAATCTTTTGTTCCAGTAGACACATACTCTGTTGCATTGCTCCTTCACTCCAGAAAACAGATAAACAGTAAATATTCCTTTTAAAATTGTGTTATTTTTATCAATACCATCAAGAGCAAGAATAGCAGACATATTTATTTATTTATTTTTTCTTATTTATTTATTATTATACTTTAAGTTCTAGGGTACATGTGCATAACGTGCAGGTTTGTTACATATGTATACTTGTGCCATGTTGGTGTGCTGCACCCATCAACTCGTCAGCACCCATCAACTCGTCATTTACATCAGGTATAACTCCCAATGCAATCCCTCCCCCCTCCCCCCTCCCCATGATAGGCCCCGGTGTGTGATGTTCCCCTTCCCGAGTCCAAGTGATCTCATTGTTCAGTTCCCACCTATGAGTGAGAACATGCGGTGTTTGGTTTACTGTTCTTGTGATAGTTTGCTAAGGATGCAGCTGGAAACCATCATTCTTAGCAAACTATCACAAGACATATTTATTTAAGCAAGCTATGTGCTTATTGTGAGATAGAAGAATTGTTCACTGACCTCAAGAATCATGGGAAAACTCGCTAAATGCCAAGTTAAAGCTATACATATATATATATGTATATACGTATATATACATAGTGTGTGTGTGTATACGTATGCATATATACACACACACACACACACATATATATATATATATACACACACACACACACAAATTATGTGACAGGAACCTCATACTGTTTTCCAAAATGGCTGTACTAATTTACATTCCCACCTACAGTGTACAAGTATTCTTTTCTCTACAGCCTGTCCAACATTTATCTTTCATCATTTTAAAAGTGGCTGTTCTAATTTTAACATATATAAGGTAACACATCATTGTGATTTTTAGATTTTTCTGATGTTTAGAGATGTTGAGCATTTTTTCACATATCTGTTGGCCATTGGTGCCTCTTACTTCAAGAAATGTCTGTTCATATCCCTTGCCCGTTTTTTAATCAGGTTATTTGTTTTCTTGCTGTTGAGTTCTCTGAGTTTTCTATAT